TATATATATACACTATTATTCCATAATTAACAAAATTTGTTTACAAAATAAAATTTGTCATTGAGGTTTAAAATTTTCAAAATTTGATCGAACAGTCTGATACTAAAAAATTTGTTTAAATCTTTGGTAAGTGAGTCAAACTTACCAATTTTGTTGCACTGAGTGTTAATTTAGAAAGGAGTGTTAGTTTCGCACATTGTTTTTAGATGTGGCTTCTGCACTCATGGAAACCAATTCGTACCAAATGGATCACTGTATTGGCTACCCTTATCAAACTTTTGACTTCAGATTGATGGGATGATGCAAGGAGGGAGGATACTGCTACATCCACAAGTCTCGTCTCGTCCATTGTTATGATCCGATGATGACAGCAAGCTTGTTGTTGCCAGTGGTTATAGATCAATTTGGTCAATATAAAAGCTAAACTTACAGTTACGACTCCTTCAATAAATATAAATAAATAAAAGCAGATGGCTTTTTTCCAAGTAGGTGCAACTGAAATGTACACAATCTTTGTTAGAAACAATAAATACTCAAATATATGTTTAGTTATTTCAACAATGATAATATATATATACACATTTCAGCAAAGAATAACAGCAATTCCTTACAACTTTCTCACTCAACACTGCTAATTAGTTTACCAACTCTTTCTCAAAGTTGCAGTAGCTTATTCACACCCACAAGTTAGCATTCGCTTCAAACTTTTTACAGTAGACTTACTTAGAAAGATAACCTCGATCATTTACTATAACAAAAATAATAAAAAGCTGTAAAGTTTTAACATATGTTTAGTTAAATTAAAAGTATTTGAATTATTATTTTTAGTAATAATTCACTTCACTGGTCCTAAATTTCATGGGGCTGTATGATTAGAAACTGGCAGTCCTATCTTTTGTGAATTGAGTGAAATAACCCTTTGTTTTTTTTGTTGCTTGAAGTTGAAACGAATTAGCTTGGTGTTAATATCTAAATATTTCAGTTTGCTGGCATTGTATTGATCGTGTCCATGTCAGTAAAATATGAGCTTACTTCGCATCGATCATAGCTTGAGGGCAGAAGCGTTAGCAACCAAAACGAGCAACACGTTGGAGACGTGATGATAGATAGCTCATGTTAGCTGGCCAACCCGCAAAGGAGAACTGGTGAAAAGTCAGCTTTCTTTTCTAAATTGCCACCAGCAATTTGGCATATGAAATTACGTTAATTATATGTTATTTTTTATAATTAATTTTTTTAGTATTTTGATTCTTATATTTTTAAAAATTATATTGAGATTCATATACTTATAAAATTAAAATATTTAATTTATTTTTTTTAAAATCGTCAATTATATTGACGAAAATATCATAAGGTTTATCATTGAGTATGTGCATTATTTTCATTAGCAAAAACAACAATGTGAGGAGAAATAAAATTAAATATTTTATTTTTATAAGTATAGAAAATTTAATGTAACTTTTAAGAGGGTAGTGATCGAGAAATTAATGATAGTTCAATAAACCTTTAGATGGTAGGTTATTGGGGTAATCAAATGGATGGATAGAGAAAGGTGGTGGAAGCATCAAATTTCAATGTGCTATTTCGTTTTTTTTTCATCTATACATCACTGAGAGATGGGAAGAGAGAAGGCATCGAGTGCAACCTGCTACTTCGCGCAAATTGCTGAGACTTGCATGGACGAAGTACTCCATGCATTGTCTGGTTTCTTCTGTTGATGAAGAGCTCCATGGATGAAAAGTTTCACGCAGATGGTAGTGCTACTCTCTCTCTCTCTCTCTCTCGCTCTCTCTTCGTTACTGTGGTAATTAAATGGATGGATCGAAAAAGGTGGCGGAAGCAACAAATTTCAACGTGCTATTTTGTTTCTTTTCATCTTTACATCACCGAGAGATGACGAGAGAAGGCATCGACTGCAACCTGCTACTTCACGCAAGTTGCCGAGACTTGCATGGTTAAGAGCTCCATGCATTGTCTGGTTTCTTCTCTTGACGGATTCAACCGGAGGAGGAGCAATTTGGATCATTCTTTATAGAGATAGCGGGCAAATCAAAAGTAGAGGCTTCCTGTTGGCTTCTGCTTGCCGTGCTCGAGCTAGCAGACAAATCCAAATGATCTACAGGCAGACAGTAACAAGTGATGAAAGAAAAGACAACGGAGCCGATGAGTCGAATGCTCATGCATGCAAGAACAAACCTCCGATAAGATAATTATGTGACAACTGGGACTGTTGAAGTAAAGGTGTCCCATTTTGTATGGAGATCTTATGGACCTCCAACTTTAACTCATGGAGGCTTCCAGGCTTATGCATGGCTCCTACAGACCATACACCTCCTCCTCCCTTTAAATGTTTCTCCAAATATATTTCCCTCTAAGATAGCAATCCACATTTGTTACCTTCCTCTTCCAATTTGAAAGCTTCTTATATCAGTGGCAAAGAAGTCCTAATGTTCCGAGAGGCTCCCTAAAGAAATGTATCATCTGAAAATAGAAGCTGAACCAGAAAAACGTTGGAAACACGAAATGCAGCAGAAGGAAGCGATCTCCAGGCAGCTGGACTCACCTCCCCGTCGTAGTCGTGCACCAGGACCACCACCGGAAATGAAATTCCGGCATCCCTGGCAACCCCGACCATGTCTTGCCTGCACCCACCCCACATGCACGCAATACAAGCTGTGCATCTCGTGGTCCTCGACATGCACGCAAACCACCTGAACAACATGGCTACGTAGACCGTCGAAGTTGCCCGAGGCCTCCTCGCGCAAGCGACGG